AGCAGTATATTTTTTCTTATAAATTAGGTTGTCTTTGGGTTTGATAGATTGGAGGAAGTATGGATTCACAAAAATCGATGAATTAAAAGCATGCAGGTACATCCATCTGTTTTTATTGAAATAAAACAGCTTCTTAAAAAAATGAATGGAAAAAGGAATTATGTCTTGGTACTTGTTCTTCAGCCTTTTCATAGAAGAAAGTGATATAATGTAAGTATCTGCAACTTATAATGGGTATTATTGCTCTTGTTAAAAAATGACCTTGGGGTAGGTTCATGTGTACGGTGCATTCTTATCCTACCCAAAATTGTATCTCATTTCTTCAAGGAAAGCTTTTGTTTTTATATAAAAACAAATTTATTATTGAAGTGTAAGCAACTGTATTTTCTAGATGCTCTGCCGAACATCAAATTAAAGCAACTGTCTTTTCAAGAGGCTCTGCCCTCCTTGACCTTTATGCCAACTCATGATGTGGTACATGTACTTTTTTTCAAGACCCAGGGTTAAGGTATGAAGGAGGATGAATCATCGAGTAGTAAAGTTATTAGCAGAAATTGGGTCATGAAACGCAAAAGGAGAAAGCTTCCTTCTGCTACTGATCTTCCCAGCAAAAGGGAAGACGGGTCACTTGTGATTGAATCCCCTAGAAGTATTTCTTTGGCTAAAGGGAAGGTGAAGAGTGAGGTACATGGTGAACAGTTTTCATCCAAGAAGAAGGGAAATGATGGGGTGAGTTTCTTTCTGTCTAATTGGGACAGTTCGCATTAGTTTTTGTTTGTCAGTCTTTTTGTTTGAGGTCATGTTCTAGCATATGCATCATAAATGGTTATCTTCAAATGATGATTACTGCAAGGACAAACCTTGAGGATATGGTCTCCAGCCTTTTTACCCTCTGACCCTCTTAAACGAAAAAGTTTTCTTCTTGGTGAATTATTTATGCCATCCAATCTTTTTCCTAATATGTTATGGTAAAATGCTTATATTAGGCGATATATATTCATATACTTCTCTCTAAGTTGGACATGCTTATTATTTGTTGATCCAGTATTTCTTTGAATGCGTGGTCTGTGATCTTGGTGGAAACTTGTTATGCTGTGACAGTTGTCCAAGGACCTACCATCTTCAGTGCCTTAATCCACCCCTTAAGGTTTGTTGATTCAGTCTATAATTTGCTATTGGGACAGACATTTACTCTTTCTGCTTCTGGTTATATTCATTAAACAAAATTGTTTTTGCCTGGATTTTATATTTTTTTAAAGGTTTGCAATGCTCTGGTCTAACTTCTGCATGAATCTGTTATTTATTGAAGCGGATCCCCATGGGGAAGTGGCATTGTCCAAGCTGCGAACAGAAGACTGATTTGCCGTTAGAACCTACAAGCTATTTAGACACCATATCTAAACGAGCAAGAACAAAAGTTGTCAGTGCAAAATGTAAAAATGGAATCAAGTCCTCTGACACTGAGAAGGTGTCCCGGATATTTGGAAGCTCCATTCTTGCCAAGAAGAGATCTTCCAACAAGAGAAAAGCAATCTTAGCTCAAAAAGTAAAGAATTTTGGAAGGAAATCAACCACCAGCAATATAGATGTGTCTTGTAATACCGAACCAAGTCATCCATCGGATGGTAATACTGTAACAAGCGTTCCTTCTCCTGTCATCATCGATGATGAAAAGCTGGGCAATGCATCTCACTCAGACTCTCACACAGAAGGAAAGTCGGCCCCTGCTGTTACGGATGATTTAACTCATTCTAAAGCTGAAAATTTAGAGCTATGTGACGAGGTTCCTGATAAAAATCTTGATATGCTTGAGAACAAGCTTGGAATTCCTTGTGATGATGCATCTCCGAGTAAGAACCTTGCTCTTGCAACTAGTGCTGTGGGGAAGGAGCCTAAAAAAAGGAAAAAGAAGACAAATAAAGATGTTGATCAAAAGAAGCAGAGGACTGGAAAGCCAACATTGGTAGCTAGCTCTTCAAAAAAACTTGGATGCAAAGTAGATGCTGCTAGTCCTGGAAATAGTAAATCGGTAAGGAAACATAAACATGTTGACCATGAGATACCTAATTCCTCCCCGAAAAAAGAGGTTGGGACTAAGAATTCAGATCTTGATGGAAAAGATGAGGTACCTTTAATACTTAAATCTCTTCATTTGTGCTTCTTGGGATGTCTTATGCATGAATACGAAGCTTACAGGGGTTCAACATCTTTCTGTTAGTTAATTTTGTGCTGTGAACTGATTGTCTCACAGCCAATGCATGTGTTTTTCTGTTGAACCCACTTTATAGGATATTAATTTGATTGATTCACCTACATGTTGTTAAATTAACATAACGTTGGAAATTATTTTTATTAATTCACCTGCCGTATCCAACAGCATTTGAAGTGATGAATGTGATGCTGTGGTTCCTGTGTGTGTGTGGCTATGTGATTCAAAGTTGCTCCTACTCCTGCTCCACACATGGCATAGTGTATCCTCAATATCAGTATGCTTAAAAAGTATCCAACTAATTTTACCTTGCTGATTTGTATGTGTGTGTGTTTGTTTTTTAAACAAGAACTTTTTCGTTGATGTGGTGTGAAGACCATACGTAGGTATAAGACTCTCATTAAGAGTTAATGATAAGGCCCCAAGTTATTACAAAAATAATTGTCAACTGGACACTAATATGAATAATGGAATTTATCCAAATCCAAAACTTCCTCCCAACTCTATTCATTGATCTTGAATACCCAGAAACTGAGCTTTCATTTTGGGATAAAATTTGTGGGGTTAATATTCTCCAAGGAAACCAACTAAGAGAGTATAATCTTCTTGGGATTCTTGCCTTGCAGAGCCCAACGTAGAAATGAAAGATGAAGAGATGGGCTGAGCAATCCAATAGCCAAAAAAATATTTTAGTAGAATGTTAGTTGGAAGGTGGATTTGTTGGCTAAGGAGGTTGGGGGTTTGGGGATTGGTAATATTAGGAATTCAATTAAGCTTTGATGACAAAATGGCTTTGAAGATCTCTTTTTGAGTCTGACCGGCCTTGGCACAGGGTGATTCAGAGCATTTATGGGAATAAAGAGGGGGAGTGGTACTGGGGGAAAAGAAGTTGAAGGAGGAAGACGAATTCCAGGACATATATGAAAAAAGAAATTGAAGAAGGTTGGTAACAGTGAGAAAACACAATTTTGGGAGGATGTTTTAATTTATATTGGGTGGTGGAAGGGAAGTCCAAAAAAGTTACTGAAATTAGGGATACAAGAACTAGGAGTTGGAATGTTACAAGAAGAAGTAATTTGAAGAATAAGGAGGAATTTGAGCTGAAGGGGTTGTTGCAACAAAGATGCTTGGTTTAAATGATATTGATTTTTTTTATAGAGGAAACAGCTAATTTCATTGATGAATGAAATAATACATAAGGGTATAGACCCATGAGCCACTTCAAAATGGAGTTACAAGGTCATCCATTTGGCCAGAAGTAAAGTAAGGCTATAATTGGTGTGTGTGTGTGTGGGGGGGGGGTGTTTGTGTTTGCAGTTACACCAGTATTGAGCCATAAGGGGAACAAAATTTAAAAAGAAGTGTATGCTTCCTCGGAGTCTTTGAAGGTTTGGTTGTTTCTTTGCAGCCAAAGTTTCCATATGAAAGCCCTCACAACGTTTAGCCATAATACTTGTTTATCACCTTTGAAGGGGTACCCTTGAGGACGGAAGAGATAAAGTAAAAAATATTGGCTGGGAAAATGGTGGACCAGCTGAATCTGTTGAGCATGAAAATCCAGAGTCTGTGGATGAAAGGGCAATGAATAAAGAGATGATATCGGCTCTCAGCTTCCTTGAGACACATAAAGGCAGTAGCTTGGTTGGAGGGCTATGCAAGGGGATTTTTTTTGGGTATTCTCCTGTGGCTTCATGTGATAGTTCCCTTGGGAAGAATTTTACCTTCTTTGGACAGCAGCCTTTCTAGATGAAGGTGTAAAGTGGAGATGATCCAGTTGCTTGGAAGGAGGAATAGAAGGAACGTACAGTGAAACCTTTGGAGAGGTCGAAGGTCCCCTTCCAGTTGTTCTTCCTGTCCCTTAGATGAAAGGGAGCAAGCAAGCGGGTTAAGGAGGTGCGTTCTTAAATTTCAGAATCTTTTGTGCTTCTCCTCAAGCCCAGGCTCCAATAATTTGAAGAGGAATTCCATAGCTCTTTAGTGGTGGCTGTTGGGCGATTAGTGAGACAGAATAAGATAGGGGAGCTTTCTTTGAAGGGCCTTTTACTAAGCCATCCGAACTTCCAAGAAAGGGTTTTTGCTCCATCCCACACCATGCTGCAGTCCCTTGAGCATATTTATCCTTCAGTTTTATGATGAAATGCCATGGAGCACGAGTGGAGGAAGAAGTTACCTGTTTTGGCCAAGAAACCTCCTTTGAGATGCCGTATTTTACCTTCATCACTTTGCACCAAAGCGCTTTATCCTCTTCCATATCTCCAAATCCACTTGCCGAGGAGAGCTTGATTTCTCAGCTTGATACTATCAATACTGAGACCCCCAGCTGCAGTAGGTTTCTGGACCTTCTTCCATTGGACTAGGTGTGAGCCTCCTTTCATTTGTGGCCCATCCCAAAGGAAAACACTCATGAGCTTCTCAATCTTTTGGAAAATTTTAGATGGCATGAGGCAGAGAGACATATAATATGTGGGAAGCTTCGATAGTGTTGCCTTGATGAGAGTAAGCCTCCCTTCTTTGGATATAAAAGCATGTTTCCAATTTCAAAGTTTGCACTCGATTTTCTCCAAGATTGCTCCTTTGTATGGTTTGAGTGGTTGAGTAGAGGTGCTTACCAAACCGACGTTGGTGGTTCTCTTGGGTTTTTTTAGAGAAAGAATTTGAGGGTGGTTTGAATATTTATTAGTAATTGGTATTGTTTCTTCTCTAATGGGGTAGGGTTAGTGACTTGTAACTTGGCTTATGGTATAGTTCTTGCGAGAGACGTATTAATAGTTGGTATTGTTTGGTTGAAGCTTTGTAAAATTTGTGCTCTCTACCAGCCAAGACCTTTGAGGAATGGCCAACCACTATTTGCATCACAAATCTCCCTTGTCTTGGATGTTCAATTATGATTCCAGCTACCTTGTCGGTTGTTGAATTTAATAAATTATCTTCCCCCATGAGCATTATTTATGTTTGAGCTTAATCTTTCTGATGAATGCAGAGGTTGGCATATTGATCTATCCAGGCATCTTTTTGTTGATTCCTCAACATTATCTTAAAGCCATTTGATATCATGTCTTCTAGGAGTCCATTCTGAAATTCAAGTTCTTATTTGGTTCTTGGATTTGTGAAGGTCCAAAACTTGTGACATTTTGTGAAGGAGGGAGGTAGCCACATAATCCTGTGTTTTATTTGGGTGTGTTCACTATGGAGTTGACAGACCACTTATTCATATTTTGAAGCTTTGCAAGTAAGCTTGGTTTGAATTTTTATATGTGTTCTGTCTTTGCTGGAGATTTGCTGAGATTCCTTTCTAAGTAGTTGAGTCGGTATTTCTGGTGGAAGGGTGCCTAAGAAGAGAGGAATTTCCGCACAAAATTTGCAGCTCCAACAATTTATTTGGTTTGGTTGGAAAGAAATAAAAGAACTTTGTAGGATAAAGTTGAAGATGTCGAAGTTGCTTGAGATTCGAGATTTTTTTCCCTTCGTTCTTGGTGTCTAATAAATTTTATTTGGTATATTTTGGCATTTTTTTCTGCTTGTTGATTTTTGGAGGATTTTCTTTCACTAATCCTTTCTCTTTTTGGGAGGATGCTGGCTTCTTCATTTTTTGTAATTGCCTTTCGTTTATTATTAATATGTATTTTTCCCAATAAAAGAATTCTCACTTTTAGATATAATGATATATATTTTTACAGTATGAATGCTATTCCAAAAATGTTAATATTTAGCTCAAACTTAATATATTATCAATGGTTTCCAGTTTATAAATCATGTAGCTGCCTCCATCTATGGTTGTGATTGTCGTATGAATTATTGTCATATGTTGCTGTTACTTGATATCTCATCCATTAATTGTTAATTAGGAAGTACGACACATTTGCTTATTGCAGAAACATCTTGATGAAGACAAAGATAAGTTGGTCGAGCTTGACAAAGTAGTGAGTCATTTAGATGGCATGTTGATATGTGAAAATGGATTGGATGGTGAGACTTTACAGGTAAACGATAATGCTTCTAAAGCAAAAGTCTATCTGTTTCAATGGTTTAGACATTGATTGCTTCCTTTATGTTTATTCTGTAACAAGCTGACATGCTCTCATTTGTTTGTTTTTCCTTTCCCCGCTCAACTTCTCAGGTTGATCGAGTTTTAGGATGCCGTGTTCAAGGTAATAGCAAGGAATCTTCATATTTACCTGAGATAGTGGTTAATGATCATCCCCATGATCTTTTAAATCCAGAAAATGAAGCCAGAGAAACAGGAGATAAATCTGCATTTGATGATGTTTTAGATGTTGGAACAGAAAATGTCATGAAGTCTCATCAGAATGTAGGTTCAAGTGGTGATATGGAAGAAAACTTGAAGAGTGACACGAAGGTAGATAAAATACAGGTATACAGAAGATCTGTGAATAAAGAATCAAAGAAAGGGAAGGCCCTGGATCTGTCGAGCAAAGGCAATATTGATTGTTGTACTACAACCTTAAATGGAGAAAGTCGAGATGGATCTTCTGCAACATTAGAAGATCAGGGTAGAACAATTGAAAATACCATCTCAGAGGAGAACGTTGACAACAGTTTGAGAAGTTCTGATGGAAATGATGTTCTAAAAGTGTGTGAAAAGGTTGTTTCTTTTGAAACCAATAACATAACAGAAGGTGATATAGAAGTAGGTATCAGTAGCAGTGTGGAAAATAAAATTGAAGATCCATTGTTACCTGATACTGCATGTAAGAAAGTTGAGACCGTACATTATGAATTTCTAGTGAAGTGGGTTGGTAAGTCTCATATCCATAATAGTTGGATTCCTGAATCTCACCTGAAAGTTCTAGCAAAGCGAAAACTTGAAAATTACAAGGCAAAATATGGCATGGCTGTCATTAATATATGTGAGGATCGATGGAAGCAGCCCCAGCGAGTGATCGCTCTTCGTTCTTGCAAAGATGGTGGGCATGAAGCATTTACAAAATGGAGTGGCCTTCCTTATGATGAATGCACTTGGGAAAATTTAGATGAACCTGTTCTAAAAGAATCTCCACATCTGATCCAGTGGTTCAATGAGTTTGAGCAGCAAACAATTGAAAAGGACTCTTCGAAGGAAACTTTACCTAGGAAATATGGCGATTCACAGTTTGAAATTGCTACTCTTACAGAGCAACCTAAGGAACTCCAAGGGGGTTCATTGTTTCCTCATCAACTTGAAGCACTCAACTGGTTGCGGAAGTGTTGGTACAAGTCAAAAAATGTAATACTTGCTGACGAGATGGGTCTTGGGAAAACAGTATCAGCTTGTGCTTTTATTTCATCATTATATTTTGAGTTTAAAGCTAGACTCCCTTGCTTAGTTTTGGTCCCACTGTCCACAATGCCTAACTGGCTTTCTGAATTTGCTTTATGGGCCCCAAATTTGAATGTTGTGGAATACCATGGGGGTGCAAAGGCCAGAGCAACTATCCGTCAGTATGAATGGCACGCTAGCAATCCAAGTCAGTCGAATAAGAAAACCGACTCCTTTAAATTTAATGTTCTTTTAACTACATATGAAATGGTTCTTGTCGATTCTTCTTATCTTCGTGGGGTTCCTTGGGAAGTACTTGTGGTAGATGAGGGCCACCGTTTGAAGAATTCTGGAAGTAAGCTTTTCAGCTTGCTCAATACATTTTCTTTCCAACATCGTGTTCTGTTGACTGGCACACCTCTGCAGAACAACATTGGTGAGATGTATAACTTGCTTAATTTCTTGCAGCCGGCTTCATTTCCTTCTTTATCTTCATTTGAGGAGAAGTTTAATGACCTTACAACTGCTGAAAAGGTGGAAGAACTGAAAAAACTTGTTGCTCCACATATGCTTCGAAGGCTTAAAAAGGATGCCATGCAAAATATTCCTCCCAAAACTGAAAGAATGGTTCCCGTTGAGCTATCATCCATCCAAGCTGAATATTATCGTGCAATGCTGACAAAAAACTATCAGATACTAAGGAACATTGGGAAGGGTGTTGCACAACAGTCAATGCTGAATATCGTGATGCAATTGCGAAAGGTCTGTAATCACCCATACCTTATTCCGGGCACCGAGCCTGAATCTGGTACTGTAGAGTTCCTTCATGAAATGCGGATAAAAGCTTCAGCTAAGTTAACGCTGTTGCATTCAATGCTCAAGATTTTACATAAGGAAGGTCATAGGGTTCTACTATTTTCCCAGATGACTAAGCTTCTTGATATCCTCGAAGATTACTTAACCATAGAATTTGGGCCGAAGACATATGAGAGAGTAGATGGCTCTGTTTCAGTGGCAGATCGTCAAGCTGCAATTACACGCTTTAACCAAGATAAGAGTCGATTTGTTTTCCTATTATCAACACGCTCTTGCGGCCTTGGTATTAATTTGGCAACTGCTGACACCGTTATTATTTATGATTCTGATTTTAATCCACATGCTGATATCCAAGCTATGAATCGGGCACATCGAATTGGTCAATCAAACAGACTTTTGGTATACCGGCTTGTAGTTCGTGCTAGTGTCGAAGAGCGCATATTGCAGCTTGCTAAGAAGAAATTGATGCTTGATCAGCTTTTTGTAAACAAGTCAGGATCTCAGAAGGAAGTAGAAGATATTTTAAAATGGGGTACGGAGGAACTATTTAGTGATACAACCATCACTAGTGGAAAGGACACGAATGAAAATGGTAATAGCAAGGATGAGGTGGTGACAGATATGGAGCATAAACATAAGAAGAGGACAGGTTCTCTAGGGGATGTCTACAAGGATAAATGTACAGATAGTGGCAATAAGATTGTTTGGGATGAACATGCAATTTTGAGATTGCTAGACCGTTCAAACCTTCAATCTGACGCAACTGAGATTGCCGAAGCTGATACAGAGAATGATATGCTCGGCTCAGTGAAGGTTATAATTTTACTTATACTAGCTAAATGTTATTTAATTTTTTTTTTTTTCATTTCTTTATGGCTTGTGGAAAGTTTAAATATTTTTTGCACGGTAAAGGAGAGGGGGTGGAGGATTAAAAGAGCCGCATCTTCAGAAGATGCGTGCATGTGTGTTGTAGCCTTCCAATCTTGACTTTGGTTGACACATTTTTCTCGTCAAACAAAAAGTCTGATCAATCCAAAATAGTATCAGGATTAAGTGTCTAATATTAGTATTTCTTATTAGTGTTCAACCATGTGAAATGCTACGTACCTTGTGACTTCTATATCATAAAGCTTCAGAGTCAATATCCTCTTACTGTTGTTAATTAGAAATTCCTAATTTGTATTCCAATTAGTCCGTCGATTGGAATGATGAACCAGCAGCAGAAGAACAAGGAGCTGAATCACCCACTGGTGTAAATGATGATATTTGTGCTCAAAATTCAGAAAGGAAAGAAGATAATGCGTTGGCTGGTGCTGAAGAAAATGAATGGGACAGACTTCTACGGATTAGGTAAAAACTTCTTTATTGAGGTCTCTCTACTTTCCTGTTAGCACTCTTGGTTTGTGTATAAATTACAATATGATTCAATACAAATATGTGAGAAATTTTTATACTAAAAGAAATGAGTACTGTAGCTAGTATCTTGAAATCTATCAAACACATGCTGTAATTTTAAACTTCGCTTTCTTTGGGACATAGGTGGGAGAAGTATCAGAGTGAAGAGGAAGCAGTTCTTGGCCGTGGGAAACGCCTCCGTAAAGCTGTTTCTTACAGGGAAGCCTATGCTCCACATCCTAGTGAAATATTGAGTGAGGTACTTTTGAATCCCTGATTTCTTGTAAGCCCTTATCTTTAGGAAGTGCGCATGGTAGTGTCCATTAACAGACATCATGTCATTCTTTATTTTTTTAATAAGAAGCAAAACTTTTCGTTGATTTACGAAAAGAAATAAATGTTTAAAGATACAACTCCCAAATGGAGGAAACCAAATAAAGTGCAACAAACTAAACATGAAATATAGAAGCATTTCAAAGTTAAATAGATATCTTGAAGATGACAATACACAATAACTTGGAAGAACTCCACTGTGAAGCTTTCAAGAGGCTATATCAAAACAATCAAAACAACTGTCATGCTTGATATCGAAGATCTTTTGATTACGTTTCCTCCAGAGCTGCTAAATAATGGCCTTGAATTCATTAGACCAAAGCAATTGAGGCCTTGAAGATAAATTAGGTCCAACCAAAATATGAAGATGATTGCATTTTGAGTCATTTGAAGAGGCCCAAGATAAATCAAACTTCATAAATATGAGGAATTCCTTATTGCTGTCATTTTCTGATAAGAATATTGTTGTCATTTGATATTGATCTTCTACATATTTATTGCTATGGAGCTAGGACAGAGACATGACAAAAACATTATAGTTCCAATTAGCAACCTCCTATTCAACTGTCTTCTGATATGTTTTCTTCTATAAATAAAAAAACATGACATTTCATTAGATAAATGAAATATGCAAAATAAGGGGAGAGGTGCGCTAACCCCACAGCTAAGGGAGGTCGACTGATTTGCAAGTAACTTCCATACATCTCAAAATATTTTACAATAAATTTATGGTTCTTCAGTTTGGATATACAGCTAGCAGCATGTTCTGGAAATGAATCTTGTAGTGCTTTGTATATCCTCTTGGCCTTCCACCGCATTCTTTTTTGATCTTTTAAAGTGACAAAATTCTTAGTCTGTGCTTTAGGGTGTTGGGCTGCCGATCTATTCTTCCTTCATATTTTAGTACCTTGAATTGCATAACTGCAAATGTCTTGATTTGGAGATGGACAATATTAATCTTCTTTGATTGCTTGAGAATAAGTAGAACTGTTACACTATTTTGTCATCTTCATAACGTACAAGAATCATTATTGTTAATTTTTAAAATCAGAGTGGGGGTGAAGAAGAAAGAGAACCAGAGCCAGAGCCAGAGAGGGAATATACACCGGCAGGACGAGCTTTAAAAGAAAAATTGTAAGTTAAATTTTCTCAAGAATTGAAATGCTTTCCAGTAACAATTTTGAGTTTTGAGACAATATAAATGTAGTTAAATGGTTATCATGGCTGAGTAGAACATACCAGTGTAGTTATTGCAAAGTAGAACTTTTATTTATTGTGAAGTTTTCCAAATGTTTCTTAGTTATTGCCTGCATTCGTAAATTTCATGTTTCTTATTTTGAATTTTGAATTCATGGGCTTATCTTTTCTGTTCACGATACTTCAATCTCCTTCTGGAACTTGATTTGGATCCTTACCTGCTTGAATGTTCTAATGAGATATTCTATATTATGAAGAAAAACTTGATGCAATAGAAAATATAGTATGTAACATTATTCTTTTAATAAAAGGAAAGAAATTAAACAATGGACATTAACAGACCCTGAATCTAAAGCTGCTGCACAAAAAATGAAAAAAGAAAAGAAAAAAAAAACTAACAATTGAGTCTCCCGTAAGTTTTGTCTTTAGGTGATTCCTTTAGTTGGGAAGCCTTTATTCTTCTATGAGAGGTGGTTTCTTATTTAAAAAATGAATGTTTGCAGAAGGAAGAAGAGGACAGGAGACCGTTGAACTAAAAAGAAAATGAAATTACAAGATATTCTATCAAGTTGTGTACATAGAATGCAGATGAAAAACCAAAATTTAAAGATTAAACATTATTTGACCTATAAAAAGTAAAGAGTAGAACTCTTTTCTAATCCACTTTCTAATCCTTGAACTTATCCTATAAAATAGGCTTGTTCCTTCATGGATACATTATCCAACACTAGTCACTAGAGCAAAAACTACACATTTAAATAGAAGACATTCCAACAAATCAATGTGTGTCATTTTTTTGCTCTGATGCATGGCATAGTGGTGTAGGTGCAAACTGTTTTCAAGTGACAAAAAGATTCTGTGTGACATCATACATATTTTGCCTTTCTTAAGATGTTTTGGCTCTATTTTGAAGTGTAAAGATGGTTGTGAAAAATATGACTTAATTAGTTCGAAGAAATTGCTTGATTAGATGTGCAGGTTGTCAATACTGACAATTTTTACTTTGTGATGCTTTATTTACTTTCATTTTAATGAACAGTTCTAGGCTACGAGCTAGACAAAAAGAACGGCTTGCTAAAAGAAACGCATTGGAAGAATCATGCTCTCGTGAGGGAGTGACACTACATGGGTCACTCCCTCACCCTCAGTGTCCTCTCACCAACGCAGCAGATCCAGATCAAGCAGCAGGATTGTTAGAAACTAATAAAGAGAGGCCTCCGGTATTTGACTTGGAGGATGAAAAACTTGTCCAGTCAGCAGATGCTCCAAAGAGCCGGATTGACTCAACCTTGAGGCTGGGAAGAATTCCAAGGCATAAAGTTATCAGTCAATTAGATCTTGCAGTAGGTCCATTAGGCTATCCGTCTGCTGATAACTGTGTTCCAAGCCAACATTTTCAGGGCACCAATCATACAAACTCAGTCCCGATGAACTTGTTGCCAGTTCTTGGACTTTGTGCTCCTAATGCTAATCAGCTCGAGACATCGCGTAAAAACCTGTCAAGATTGAATGGTAAACATAGCAGAACGGGACCTGGACCTGATTTTCCATTTAAATTATCTCCTTGCTCTGGAACTTTAACTGGCAGTGATATTGGTGGCGCCGAGGCTGTGCCAGACAAAGAACTGCCAGCTTCATCAGCAGAACGCATGCATGGCCATCTTTTATTTGCTCAGGTAAATTTTCTGTCATTCTCTGATCAGTTTCTTGATGGATTTCTCTATGAAGTCCTCAACTTTTTGTGGAAATGAAAGGACTTCAGAATTTCCTGCTTTTTTTATTACGTTCGACATCTCTGGTTTCCAGGAAAAGATGGCACCACCCAATTTTCCCTTTGATGAGAAAATGCTGCCCAGATATCCAATCCCATCTAAGAACTTGCCGACTGCACGTCTCGACTTCTTATCAAACCTATCCCTGGATAGCAGAGTTGAAGCTGTTAATGGCTGTCTTCCAACTATACCTTTGCTGCCCAATTTAAAACTTCCTTACCTAGATGTTATGAGGGGCAATCAACAAGATGAGGAGGAAGCTCCCTCCTTGGGTTTGGGACGGATGCTTCCTGCGTTTTCAACATTTCCTGAGAATCATAAGAAAGTGCTTGAAAATATAATGATGAGGACTGGGTCTGGATCTGCCAACTACTTCAGAAGAAAACCAAAAGGAGATGGTTGGTCAGAAGATGAACTTGATTTTCTCTGGATCGGTGTCCGAAGGCATGGAAAGGGAAACTGGGATGCCATGCTTAAAGATCCAAGACTGAAATTCTCAAGGTACAAAACCTCAGAAGATTTATCATCCAGGTGGGAGGAGGAGCAACTAAAGATTTTGGATGGGTCAGGTTGTCAGGTGCCAAAATCAGCTAAGCATAAATCACAGAAATCTTCTCTATTTCCAAGTCTCCCTGATGGGATGATGGCCCGGGCTTTGCATGGAAGTAGACTAGTTACAGCACCAAAATTTCATACCCATCTAACAGATATTAAACTGGGTCTTGGCGATATTGCTCCTAACCTTCCAAGATTTGAAGCAGGTTTGCAAAATGAGCAATTTGCAACAATTCCAACCTGGAACCATGACAAGTATCACTCATATTTTCCAGGAGAGTCTTCTACAGGAGCTTCTGATCGACCAGGGATTAACTCAACCATGCCTATCGAAAACCCATTTATGTTCAATTCTTTGGGAACTACTCACTTGGGTTCTTTGGCTTTAAATGGTTCTCGTACCTTTGATACACGGGGAAAGGAGAATGACGAACCAGATCTCGATAACTATGGGAAGTTGCCGATTTTTTTGGATAGATCCTTGAAACTATTTCATGAATCACCTAACAATTTGGAAAATGGTGGTTCTGGACTGCAGCCTGATCCAAGTAGTAGAGGGCTCAGTGTAGCAAATTCGAAAGAAGAAGTAACGGACAGTAGTTCTTCAAAGGACAAACTACCTCATTGGCTAAGAGAAGCTGTAAATGTTTCTTCAAAACCTCCAGACCCTAACCTGCCTCCCACTGTGTCAGCAGTTGCACAATCAGTTCGATTGCTATATGGGGAAGACAAGTTCATCACCATTCCTCCATTTGTGAACCCAGGTCCACCTCCCTCTTTACCCAAAGATCCGAGACGGAGTCTGAAAAAAAAAAGAAAACGAAAATCAGTTCTTTTCAGGCACACTCCAGCTGATATTGTAGGAAGTAGCCAGCAGGAGGAGCTTGAGGGTGGCCCGGTCCAGGCTGATGATACTGTTTCTTGCCCCATCTCATTGGTCTCGCCACTTGCCATGCATCCACAGCCACAGGAAATGGCAGGAACTTCAAGGCTTCCAGTTTCGGAATCTGACCTCGGCATACCTGCTCTGAACTTAAACATGAATCCACCATCGTCATCTCTGCACACGAACCCACAGAAGAAAACTAGCATGGGATTGTCGCCATCGCCAGAAGTTCTTCAGTTAGTTGCATCTTGCGTCACTCCCGGTTCACATATGTCATCTATATCAGGGAAGTTGAACTCAAGTCTCCTTGAGAATAAGCTTCCACTATCAACTTCCCATGATTCTGAAGACCTCTTGGGTTCTAAAAGTTCTTCAGGAAAAAGTAAAAAACAGAGGTTATCATTCAGTTCATTAGATTTATACCATCAAGACAAACCCAATTCCCCCGAAAGTGACGACTCGAGTAAGACACAATCAGACCCCTCAAGGAGCAAAAGACCTGATGGGGAAGAAATATCGTCTGAAGGGACGGTCTCAGATCGTCATGCAAGTGACCAAGAATTGTAGTTGTAATAAGAACCTGTAACAGTATAGTCATTTTTTAGTGCTGCGCGAGGCTGTATGTCAATGTGCTTGAATTTTTGTAGGCATTCCCCAATGAGTTAAATGCATTGGTAAATGGTAGGCTTATCATTATCATATCTTTATGTAAAGCTTTTTTCAAGAGAAATGTCAAATATAGTTCTCTCTTTTGGTATTTCTTGTGTTGTGGAACTTGTAATGGTAGCAGTAGCACCAAGCTCCAAGTTCTGTTGTCTGATCCATGCCTGATTCTGATTCTTGGTCACACAAGTTTGAAGGGAACTGTGTTAAACAACAGCTGAACCAAAAGCACTCGTACTTTGTTGAGTGTAAATTTGTAGTCTTAGGGAAAGCATTTACTTGAAGCTATAATGTAAATTTCCTTTGTATGGTTCTCTCCCTGATTCTTTGTAATTGTGGTAGTCTCCCTTCTAGGATTCAATAAAATGAGTTCATATTGTGAGATTCGAAAAATACAAAGTCAATTGCTGATGACTCCGCTACAGTTTTGACACTTCTCTTTTTTCATGTTTTGGCAATTTTCTTCACGTCTATTACTCATAATATAAAGACAAGTAGATGACAAATAAAATGTTCTTTTTTAAGCAAGTTGTCTATTTTTTTCTACTACTTGTATTTATATGTCATTGTATGTCAAATCAATCCGAGTTTGATCAATAGACATGAGCAACAAATACCACATTCGAAACATAATCGAAAGCTCATAAACTTAAATGAAATTATTTTAAGTAAAATGACTAATCTAAAAAAGATCACGGGTGGGAATTCTCATCTCATGTTATTTATGTAATTAACATTAAAAAAAATGAAAAAAGAACAAAAAGTGCAATACATGAACCTTGATTTAGGGAGATTTCATGGAGCTTAACAAAAGGGGTATTACATAATTTGATCTCAACACAGAAATCCAAGTGAAGCCGCTGTATGGCAGAACAGAAAAATAGTATATTTGCCATTGCCACCATCCATCACCGGGTTTTGTCTGCCAAAATAATACCAACTTTTCATGTCACATGCTTCCTTTTCACTCCGGAACCACTTTCTTCAATTTCCACTTGTTATTAAAGATCGAACCAAAACTCAATACTTTCTCATATATCAAAAAATAAATAAATTCATATCCAGGATCATAATTGGAGCTCTGACAAAACTCTGATTCTTCTCTCTATTATTCCTTTATCCATCCATCCACCACTTTTTTTCAATGATTCTCATTGGAACGCATCGTGTGATCTTCACTCTCTTCAAGTCATAATTATTGATCCAATTATTTCACGAACAGGTAAATAAAATGATCTGAATTCGATCTTAATTAATGTTGCTTGCTTTTGCCCTATCTGAACTTCTTGAACCGTGTATATTTATATATATATATAATCAGAATCAACCTAATGTACCATACAAGTTAAACACCGATAAAGAAAGGGGAAAGAAAAATGGTAGGGACAGAGATCGCTAGCGCGAAGCAGTGACTGTTACATCAGGGACAGAATGAGAAGCATTTCCTGGATTTGACGCGAATCTGGAAGAGAACGCGCAGAACTGATAGTAATCTTCGTCTAACAAGCTTCCGCAGCCGCTGGTGTCAAAGTTGAGAGAGTAGCTCAGCGGATCGTACCGGCACTGGAACGCGCTGCTCTCTCCACTAGTGCTGCATAAAACTCGCCCTCGTTTCTTCAGTTTCCGCAACAGTTTGGCGACGCAGTTGCAGTGAGAGGAGGGGGACGCCTTTTTGGCGAGGGAAGTCGCAGTTACCGCGGCGGTGGCGGAGGATGTGGTAGTTTTGCCGCCGGCGGAGACGGTCTTCGGCCACCACAGAAGCCACATTTGCGTCATGCTCAGTGAAGAAAGAAAGTTGAAGAAGTTGCAGAGTGCGGCGAAATCGAAATATGGAAACTCAACTCTGCTAATTTATGTAGGTAAGTGGGAAGGTGACGTTTACGCGTCACGAAGAGCGCGTGAGGTTGAACTCTGTCTTCGGATCTCAGCGTGATTATCAAAGATTAAAAAAAAAACAAAAAACAAAAAATAAAAGGGTCGGCCTTCTTTTGTTATTCCCTCTAGGAAGTCATGTGTCCCCCACGTGATCGAGCATTGTAAACCCTAATTAGCATATGCTCTCTCTTCTATCTTTCTACAAACTTATTACCATATTTAATTTAGGTTAAAGTATTCAAAATACCAGTAAACTTTTAGTCTGTTCCGATTATACATCTGTCATTTAAATTTTTTACTAATATTCTTACCCTTTAAAATTGATTAGACACCCCTAACCAATTTTGTCGCAATTTTATGGTTAAAATATAAGTGATAGAAATTGACATGGTTGGTGAGTTATAAATGGAATAATGGCGTATGACAAATACTAATTACCACTAGACATAACTTTTCTAGCTAAGTTTGTTGTTTGCTTTTTTTACTTACCCCACCCTCCACACATTAGAGACAACCACCCAGTAGTTATTTATACATGTCACAATTGTTGTTTATTTGTTAGTTTTTATCCATCAAATTGTCGAGGAACATATTTGAAACAATGTTAAAAGTAAGGGTAGAAGTGAAACTTTTTTATTAATAAAAGTGTAATTAAAACTAATCTCAAAGCATTTGGAATAATTTAGTCTTTTAATTTATATCATAAAATCCAACTTATTATATTAGATTATATATTAAAGTAGGAGGAATAGTAGTCGTTGCTCCCTTAGTCATATAGTGAAATAAAAAATTAAGAAAAAAAAAGTTAAATTTTCCACCACCCTCGGGCAATGTATGACTCTATCCAAGAAAAAATTCGAATGCAAGAAGAGTATATTACTCTTTGTGTTCGCACTGGGATTTTATCTTTACAAATTTTTTAATGTTGGTAGACTCCACGTCATTTCTAATACGATGTTGACGTAGCGTACAGTGAAATGAAAAGGAGTTTTTATGAATATGTCAACATGCATATGTAGAAGCGAGGATTTGAATCCACGGCCTTTCAATTGAGAATATATGTAGGTTAGCGGAAGAGTATATATATCTATACTTCCGTAATACGATAAATTTTCCCACTTCATCCCTAACTTTAAAATTTGTGTTTATTTAATATTATGTATACTTTAAAAAGTTTCCTTACCATCTTTAATATAACAACGACATATTATTTTGATTAAATAACTGATTTGATACGATGCAATGGATAAAAGAATAGACACAGATAGATAGATAAATGGACAAATTAAAAAGATATGCAGACAAATAAAATTAATAAATGAGCTTAGTTTGTGAACTGCGATGTAGATATTTTTGGAGTTGAAATTCAATTGAATCCAATGGGAACTAGAAAATGTTGAAATGAGATGAGATGATAGAAGAGGCCATAGGGCACCCATAGTCAATGTTGTAGAGAAATGTCAGAAATGATTTGAATGGGACAAGAAGCTTCAAGCTATGGCCCCTCCCAATTGCTTTTATTTTCTCAATTCTCATCTTATGTGGGCCTGGGCCCCTTTTTCTTCAACCACATGCTACCCACTTTCATCCTTTTTTTTTTTTTTTTTCCCTCTTTAACATCTAATTTATCTAACAACTTAGGTAGTTTATAATATGAAAATGTATATGGTAGGGTTATAGGTTTATAGATTTTTAGGTTCATAAGTTTATGCTTAGATCTTAACCTACTAATTAATTACATACTAAAATTTGAATAAAGGTACTACAAACTTAGAGTATTGACTTGATGACTTCGTACTTTTGAAGGTTATGAACATCTTTCAAATTTTTCACGAGTAAAGAATTGAGTATTTTTTTAAAGATAATAAAAAAAAAAAAAGCAAAGATTTAATTTGTAAAAAGATATATGGAAGAATGATTGGTATTGGTATTGGTGTGCTAAGTTTATATTTGGAGGTTGAAAAGGAGATGGTGGGGGCATAGAGGCTTTGCCCCATGCCTTTACTCTGACTATCACGTGATTCCTTTATACCACTTTTAAAACTCATCTTCAAAACTCTACTGGTATGTTCAGAATCATAATTTTTAAATTCTACTCCTCAAAATATCCTAAAAAAATTACGCAAGTTGAATCTCAATCTTACACATAATAATCAACCAAAAAGCCAAAAAAAAAAATTTATATATAAAATTCTAAGGTTCTTCGTATCCATTTTAATTTAACTCAATATCCTTAATTCTTTTTTTTTTTTGAAACGTAACTTCCTTATTCTGAATAGGGTAACATGTTGTCCACTGTATTTAATATTAAACTAATAAAATTCTAACGACTTAAACTGTTCATATTTCATATTCTGATTACTTTTAATTACTCATATCTCATCATCTTTCCTCCTCACCGTCAAGTCGAACATCGTTAAAATACCTATCTCACCAAGATTCGAACCCATCCCCACTTGTTGTAAGAAGAAAGAATAAAAAAAAAATCTTCCCTCCCTACCGTTTTGGCCGTTTTCAATGGTAGTTTCTGGCTTTTTGCGCTAACGAGCAATTGGATTTCCCCAATATGGGTTGACGGAATCAATTGAGAAAAGGGTCAAATTTATATTTTTATGATTGTTTTATACAGTTCTCTTTAAAAATAAATTATTACACTTTTGATGGTTTATTTGTACTGTTTGTTTTGCTTAAAAATCAGGGTACATGCGATAATATTATCGTTTCTTGTTTATGTTTCTAACTATATTTTTATTAATATTTTAGAATAACTTGAAAACAGAAACAACAAACAAGAAATTTATTTTTGTTGTTTCCAAAATTTATATGTAATTTTGAGAATGTTTCCAAAAAATGAGAAACGATAAATATAAATAGTTCAAATACCTAGGCTTCTTAATTTTTCTTTAACAAACTCACAACTGCCCAAGGGAAAAAAAATTACTGAAAAGAGTTGTCTTTTGAGATATTATACAGAGATTTGAATGGGTAATTACCTCTCAATACCCCAATGAATGGTATGGTTGCATTGGAATTTGGATCTAAATATTCAGTTGGCCGATATATATTATATTCCCCACTGGCCTCAGACATGATTTCGTGGTTTTATTTTATTGTTTAATTTATTATTAAGAGAAAAAAAAGCATGTGCCCTCTGAAGCTGCCAAAGTATTTATTGTTGTTTTGATGGTATAGTTTATAATAATATTGTCCTTGGAAAGAAAAAAAAAAAAGATTATAATAATATTGAAAGTTCTTTTCTCAATTAATAAATGGGATGTGGAGAGAACAAGGGAGATCATTGGGTAAACAAGTTTGACCAAGACATGTGCCAAACCTTGGATTCTAAATCTTGTCATTCTACACACAGTGAGATGAGATGATAACATGATCACCTCACTCCCAACCCAAATTCTTCTTCTGTTTTTTTTTTTTTAACAACTTAATTGAGATTGTTTGTGTTATAGGTAGGTTCAAAGACTGTCACGTGAACTCCTCACTCGAAAATGCGTGTTCAAGCTTCAATTCAATCACCTCAAAGATGAAGTAAGACTCGTTTTGTGCCCACCTGGAGCATAGTCCAGCTCAACTATAATCTAAGAAAGGGGATATCTCAATAGAAATTTTGTTGATTCCATCCAAGAAAGATAGATATGCATTAAAGTAGTAGGGTTGCACTCTCCTAAGCTCTCTTGTATAAAAAGTGGAGTCTTACCCTCCAAAGGTACAGAATATCTTAGTAATGGCCAAACACCCAGGTGTGTAAAGTTTTGTTTATAGGTCCCCCGTTCATCTTGTCAGTTGACATGACATATCCTTGTCCAAAATCCTCCATCTACCGTCTTACTTAAAAATTTTAATTTTTTTTCTATATCTTTTTATTTTATAACATGAGTTAGGAATCTTAGGATTAAACCAGATTTAATTGTTTATAAATGTCACCAATATTTATGTTTATGTTTGATATAAATACCTAGGTATAGTGTCAATTTTAACATAGTTCAACTAGTTCAAGACACTTATTATTTCTGAATAAAAAGTTATTAGTTCGAATTCGTAATAAAAATAGTAGGTCTTCATTCTCTTGACTTTGTTTGTAAGATACAATAATACATTAAATTTTTGTATGACATTTTCATATGTCCATACATTTGACATCAACGTAAAGGATGAATGATGTTTTCTTAGTATCATAAAAAATTGATACAATATAAAAACATCAACGTAGTATCAAGATAATATTAATATTAATTAGGAAAATTCACAGAATAATTAATAACATCACTCCGGTGGATTGGAGCTCAATTTGAAACAGCCCAATAAGAAAGTGGGCCAGGATCGGGTTGGGCTCTTGTTGTTCTTTGCTTCTTCCAGTAGTTAACAACAGTGAAAATTGAGATTACTCGGATTTCTCCGTCGCAGCTGCAATTTGCTGGAGAAAGAATGGAAGTCGACGGTGCGGTGGTGATCGAGAAAGTTGCAGGAAAATCCGCCGTCACGAGATGCTTTTCCAAGTATCCCCTCAAATTCATCATTCCCAGAAAGGTTCGTCTTTTTTGTCTAATCAACTTTTTCTTTTCCTCCGTTGTCAGCTAATTATGTTCAATCGCCTGTAATGTTTCCTCTTTTAGGTCGGTCCCTCCAAAACTGATGCTATTTGGATTTATAGCCTCAATTATGGTGGCGGCATTGTCTCTGTACGATCTCTCTGCTGTCTTCTACATTGAATTACACTTTTTCTCTTCAACTTACTTTCGATATCTTTCCTTTGCTCAATCTCATTCGGGTTTAATTTTTATGATGCAGGGAGATTCAATTTCGTGCGAGTTGACTGTTAAAGATGGCTGCACTGCAATCCTAACGACTCAGTCTTCTACTAAGGTGATCAATCTTCCGCGCCTAGCTCTGATTAGATAAATCGCCACTTCCTCATTTTTGTTTAGTGGATTGGAATCCATGCAAAGTATTTTGTACTTTATCTACTTATTCATTGTACTTCTCTCCTCCTGCCGATGGGGTTTCCAATTTCGCAATCTTATGCTGCTTTAGGTTTACAAGTCCAGGGGAGAAGAGCGCTCTGAACAAGTATTGAAGGTGTGCCTTGTTTTATTTTTGCTTTTTGTGACTGAAGTGTCCAATGATTTGTTAAGGTCTTTTCATGTTTCTATAAATATTTTCATGTAGTTTAGCATTTGTCTGCAGTAGGCAACGATTGGTCGCGATGCCCTTTTGGCCGTACTTCCAGATCCCGTGACATGCTTCGCCACCGCAAGGTATGCACAGAAACAAGTCTTTAGAGCTGATGCAGGCTCTAGTATGGTTCTTGTCGACTGGTTTACAAGTGGGCGCCATGGAAGGGGAGAAATCTGGGAGTTTGATTTCTTCAAGAGCACCAATCAAATATACTTAGAAGACGACCATCCATTATTTTTTGATACGGTAAAGTTGAAAGTACTTTCACTTTAAACTACAATTGCATAAGAAAGTGATACACTGAACTTAACTTTTAGGCACGGATTCTGTGAGTTTCTCTCTATTGTAGTATTGTTTATTTTCTGCTAGATGCAATTTTATCAACTCTTGCGGTCTGCATTGCATTATACACCTTGTCTTATCTCATGATAGACTCTCTCTCTCTTTCAAGTTTCAATTTTTCATATTCTGTTATTTGTTTAGAAGTTCCATTATTTCTTTCAAAGATTATTTGGTTGGGAAGCCAAGGCATCTCAAGTATGTATCTGTGTTGAAAATTTTCCTTTATTCCACTTCACTTTTGGGCTAAAAAGCACGGACACTTTATTTTGGGCAACGTGTCCGTGTCCGCTCCGACACTTATCGGATACTTGCTAGCTTAATAGACATGTATCACACACTAGTTGTAAAAAGTGAATATGGATTGAACACTTGTTAGGCACATATCGAATACTTGTTAAGCATAAGAAATAGACATGAATGAATGGTAGTATAGGGCAAAATAATAAACTTTGAGTAAAATACATCAAACTCATTTTTCATACACAAAAATGCATAAGCTTATTAGTTTTGAATTTCCTTCCTAAAAAAATTGTATAATTATTGACGTGTCCTTGTCGTGTCTATGTCCTAGATTTTTAGAAAATAACGTGTCACTGTGTCTGTGTCATGTTGTATTTGTGTCCGTATCTGTGCTTCTTAGCTTTTGGGTGAGTTTGGTTCATATTGCAAAGAATCATGAACTTTCTCTAATCAGACCATTAGTTTTAAGTTGTTGTATTATAAATCTATATAATAATGTAAATTGTGCCTGAAAAGGTCGTCCTTTTCTTAATCCCCTTGTGACCTTTATAACCAATAGTAGTATCGTCAATGAGGAGCAACTTCCAAAAGTTAAATATTGTTCTTCCACAAGTACTGGTTAAAAATTAATAACCTTCTTATAAGTCATCCTGGCATCATATAGGTTAAGAAGACTTGAGCTTTTTTTCCTTTGTCCATGATGAGTGCTTTATACTATCATCTATAGTAGAGTATGTTTGTATCCTGAAATCCTAGATACAATCACTTCCAAAACATGCTTGAATATGATTTATTTGTCTGTTGACCTTTTTTTCTGAAATCATATATGGTCTCATCAATTGCAGGTGCTTCTAGAGCGAGAAAGCACGAACTCTTTAATAGATCGCATGCATGGATACCAAGTCATTGCAATGGTTGTAATTTTGGGGTAGACACTTGAGCATCTTTGACTAGCTTCATTTCCTTGACCTTCTACTTTGAGAGTCAGGAAATGTGTTTTCTGGTTTACATTATTGTTGGTGGTGGCTCCACTACAGGCCAAAGGTTAAGAATATTCGAGACCAAGTTCGAGAAAACGTGAAAAAGATGATGAGTGACCAATTACATTCTCCTTTCACTTCTGCCCGTGGAGCCCAAATGAAAATGAAGTCTGATCATTTTTTGACCAAACCTGGCATCATTGCTTCTTCCAGCGTCTTTGGCCCCATGGTGAGTTAAATAAATGCATTCACGATCTGTTAGTTGAATTTAGATATTTCTTTGTAGTAAATTTGTTATAGAGTATAGTAACGGCTAAGTGGACTAAGAATTTTAAAATGTTACATTTTTCTTGTAGGGAATTGGCACTGTTGTTAGAATAGCTGCCATGGAAACTGAAACAGTGTACAGGTTCCTCCAGCAACAGCTAGCTTCAATGGAACCCCTTCTTGGAGTGCCACCTTATAAATGAGAAGTAAGCTCAAAAACTCCTGAATGTAAGCCATTCCCTTGTAACGGAGCAATAATCAATGGAATGTTGTATTGTCTGGAACCTTACATTAGTAAAGTGAAGAACACAAGCACAGAGAAGGCGGTTGCCATATGGAACCTATGAAATCTGGAGACTAATTTCGTTTTTTGCTTTCAATCCATTCACATTAGCGTTCAATAGTACAGAGAACGAAAACTAAAAATCCGAAACTTAGAACGAAGAATAGAAGAACAGAGACGAACAGTTAACCCACATACATTCAAGTTCATCTGTCGAATTAGCCTTAAGAGAATTGGACTACATAATGTTAAAAAAAAATTATTGTTATTCAAGCGGCACATTTGATTGACCATTAGTTGAAGCTAATCCTGATGCCAACCGTGAGGTAAAAGAGAATAATTTAGACAATTTAAGTTCGAATTTAACAACTTAAATTTATGAAGCCATCAACTAGAGCTGCCAGATTGCAACTGATAAGGTTCCTGCATGCATTAAATTAAACGATTTAAAGAGTGGAATTTATTTGTTGAAGCTAAAGTTCAGTTTCCTCACCTGAAATGCTAGCAATCAGAGTCATGGTAGCTAAAATCCACACAATCTTCGATAAGTGTTTGGGAAACATAATATTAAGTTTATTAACAAGAAGGAAGAAATACTTGTTGAATAACACAGCATTTGATGTCACAAAGCGTTAAATAATCCCACACTATATTTCACAAGTATAAGAAAAATGAACCTCATTTTCAATGCTAACTCTAAAATAATAAAGCCGGTGCCTCACAAGTAGGTTTTGGGAAAGGTTGACTTCAACTAGAAAGAAATTTCACAAGGTGCATGGAATGTCCTTCCACGGCATATCGCTTCTAGGTTTTCTCCTGCATATGAACAAAGTGGCGATACCTCCACACCTATGTTCAACATCAAATATAGATCACATCAGAAAACCATCATTCCAAAGAGTTAATAATATAGCCTCGAGGAGATATTTGTCTAATACATTAAATGGTTAGGAGAATTTTGAGGATCAAATAATATTAATAAAATCTTTCTGCCTGGCCAGGCTAGGGAAGTCCTTTCTATTTTATCTGTACTCCGAATACGCTTGCTATGTGTTCAATCCAAGATACTGAGCGAACATTATCTATAGTTCAAGTATGCATTAAATGTACCGGTTGCATATAAAGGCACTGAATGTGTCAAGAATCCACCAGCTGCAACCACCCAGCGAGCGTGGAGTCGAAGAACAAGGAGCCTAGCACTATCTGGAGTGTCAAAATTTGACCCATTGGCATTTTTCACTGGTGCGAACTCTTCTTCTCGTAAGATCTAGTTAAAGAAACAAAAATGAAACTTGAATACCCAGTATGGTGATAACTGATAAGAACCCCTCCTAGATAGAGTACAAAATAATATATATATATGCAAGAGAGGAAACAAAAGATGATTTCACCTCAAAAAGTGCAGTAGAAGGAGCATAAGGAAATGCATCGAATATAAACTGCTCCATTTTTAGTCCCATTGTGTGCCCGTGAATAGAAGGAATTTTTTTCTCCGCCAGGTGATAGCTACAATTAGAAGAAGTATATGAGCAAGCTCTTCGTGATATATATGAATTGTAGAGTCACTGTCAACTCGAGGATATGAGCTGGCATAGTAAGCCACAAAAGAACACAACATTGAAGACATGCAGCTTTTCTAAACTGTGTGATACTAAGAATAATAATTGAGCAAAAGTAATCAAACCTCCTCTGTATATCCCTTTAACACAGTTATTAGTCATCCAAAACTTGGGTAATGAACATAGATCCTCAAGTGGATGCTCCTAGGCTGACCACTAAGCTAAGATCAGATTCTTCCTCTCCTGTTACACCAAGAAAACCCCACCCATCCCTTACAACTATAATTGATGGATCCTCCTTGGACATTAGGAAGAATGACTGAGACTAATAATGTTCAAGGAAAGTGAGACAATATTTATGGTATAAAATAATGCCTTTTGAAACAAGATAAGAATATTTTTTGGTTTTCTATCAAAAATAAATTAGAAACTTAAAGAGGAGCTTTTGGAAACCCTTTTATTTTGCATAAATGAAAGTCAAGGTTTTCTATGAATGCATGCGGACCATCATCTTGTAAAACTCATATCGAATTCTTGAATATTATATAAAATAGTTTGCAAAGAATTTTAAAAACCATACATTAAAAGTTATATAAAGTGAGATGGGGCTAATATCATGGTTCTCAAAAAAAAAAAAAAAAATTAAGAATTATACTCATTAAACCAAGTTAGTCAATCACAAGTAATGATAACATTGTGAACAACAATGCCAAGCGGTTTTTTTCTCTTTTCTTATAACTGTATGCGAATATGCCTAGCTTAGTTAACCAGGTACTTGTATAACATTTACAGACAAGAAACTCATATGAAATTTAGCATCCTAAACTGGTGGACATCATAATTTGAACCCATTATCTTAAAACAATTTGAGTTTACATTGTGTCCTATCCCTTTAACTATTGAGCCAACCCATTGCAGTTAAATGCTCAAAGGATAGTTCAGACTAACAAAGGGTAATTACCTTCAAATCTCACAGTCAAGGACATTTGTATAATTCCAGGTCAATGGTTTACGGGAAAAAAAAAGTACAGAAGTTTCATAAAAGGAATCCAAGAATTTCAAGCTAAAAACCTTTGAATAAAAACTAACTTTCACCTTTCACCTTTCACATGCGCCTACTCAACAAAAATGAACAAGAAAATTGAAATGCATCATTTGATTCTACAACATTCGATTGCAAATGAACTCCCTACTTGAGTTAAGAAGCTTTTTCATATCCAAAAATCACTCAATGTCCAACATACACCAAGTCTGGAATTGAAATATAACATTCAATTCTACAACATTCAATTGTAAAAAGGGACTGTGGATCCGTGTCCAACTTCAGGTTAATTCAACCCTAGCAATCAAAACCAGGATAGAGTCCTATCCAACAATCTCAATATTATCATTCATTGAGGTTTGAGCATTTCAATCATTTTATGAATTGGATAATAGTTAAAAACTCTAGCAAGGACCAAAACACGTTCCACCTAGAACATTATAACAAGGATGGAGAAGCATCAAATGAATAGTTGGAACCTTATTCTGTTCAATTATAAAATTTTAAACTAGATGGGAGGAGAGAGAGAGAGCTACTAACATGCTGTCTTTCTCAAGACCATTTGCCACTTGGTTTAGAAACTCCAAAGTAAACATGTGTAAGCACACCTGTACATTAAAAAAAAAAATCGAAACATTAAGCTTCATGTTCTAAACGTTATTTCAGGTTTCAAAGCATAAAAGAGGTTGAAAATCCAAAGTAAACATGGGTACGCATGCCTGAACATGTAAAAGAATTTAAACTTTACATTCATATTATTTCAAGTTTCCAAGCATAAAAGACAAGAACAACATGATAAATTAGTAGAATTGAGTGTATTTCTGAAAGAGGATTAAAGATTCTGCTCCATCAAAAGAAAATATAATCTTCGGTACTATTGATAATAGGCCATAAAATATATAAGAACGTAATACAACCAAGAATCAAGAAAAATCCAGCTATGAAATGGTCTCATAAATGGTAACTTGCATTTGACCTTGCTGGGGTGTTTCGGGTGAGTGCACACTGAAACCAAAAAATATCATGCACAATAGCAAGAATGAAAAATGTAACTTGACTAAAAAGTAAATGCATTACATACAATCAGACAACCACTAATAAGGTGCTAAAAAGTCAACTGTGTGAATAAAATTTTGAAGCAAAAGGATATTGAAAAACTGATTTTCATCTGTCTGTATGTTGACATAAGAGCCACACTGAAACAATCTCTAAACTTGCATTTACGAATAATTGGGCTAGATACAAAAATTTTAGATATATCGTAAGTACTATTTCAGCAAAAGAAAAGGGTAAAACAAACATTACATTACTCCAACAGAAACGAAGGCGCCCTGTTACTTGATTGATTGCAGAAGCCAGTGATGGATCCAATTCACTGTACTCAACCACAGTGAGTGGTCCCCCTTTCCCTCGTCGGACAAATACACCAACCTTTTCTTGGGGGTATGCCTATGACCGAAGAAATCAAAAATAAAATAAAATACAATCTACTCCTTAAAAAATTGCATATGGGTAAGATAAGGTCAGAGAAAATGTTAAAGAATCTGTCTCATTTGGCTGGCATTTACTGGGTTGGACCAAATAACTCATTCAGTTTTTTACTGTGAAGTTGTAGACTTCAGAGTACGTCTTTTACAGAGCAAGAACAAAGATTTCAATCTCTACATTATATATATTTCTAAACACCATCATCCAGATATAAGAATATCTAAAATGAGATTGAAGCCAACAGTAGTTTAGAGATCTACTACGTTCTAATCCACAAAGAATTTTAAGTTAGACAAGAAGCTTCTTGGAACCAATATTTTAGTCATTATTGCATTAATCTCTTCCCATATGTAAAATAAACAATAAAATTAATTACCTTACGGACAACTTTTGCTGCCGCAGATACGCCTTTATCAATGAAATAACCCAAGAACGTTGGATCAGCCACGCGAACCTTTCATCATGATGCAAATTTTTGAAACATATTAATAATTTTGCAAAATCACTAATCCAGCACTAAGAAAGTTCAACATATATGGGAACTCACTAATGCATTGTCAACTCCATAGCAATCTATATATTTAATCCCTCTTGCCGACATATCTTCTAATAAGTGTGAGGATCTTAAAGCTGATCAAAAAACAGCAGATCCACATAAGAGGTAAAAAATAGAGTTATGAGTACCCAGCAACTCAAGCTTATTAGTTTGACCAGCTTACCTGTGTATACTCCCCCATTCCCATCTGGAGCCTTAGATACCTAGCTTTTCAAATTTCAAACTCTTAAAATCTGGTTTTTATATAATTGGAATAGAGAATAACAGTGTGATGCAGAGATATGGAGTTCAATAACATTAAAATCATCAGTGTTAATAATTTCTCCTATCAAATGTAATAAATGCAGACGAACTTTCAGACCCTGAGGAAACAACCGCCAATTTACCAATGCCATATTCATCCACTACATAGCATTGTACTATATCCATGACTACTAACAAATTCTTTT